ATACTCTGTTTTTAAACCAGGAGGAGTAAACGCGAAAGTCAGATTTACACTAGGAAAAATCACCAGAAAATATCACTAGATATTTTGGCGGTAAATTTAAATTAATAATTATTATTATTTATTTATTTACTTATTATTGTATTTATTTTCGTTTGTTATCGTCAACACTAAACATACAAATTAACATTGAAGTTATGAGTGTATTTATTTCAAAATATAATAAAGAAGGGTTTAAGAACACAAAATTTACAATAATGACACGAAACTGTCGAATTGTCAATTACCTAACCTTCAAATTCAAAATTGCCTGTGTGTGAACCTTCCTCGCATTCAACCAATCACGTGCAAGGTCAATCTGGTGACAAATTTAAAATACTCCTCCTGGTTTAAAAACAGAGTATAGCTTCACTATCACTATTATTGGTTTGCCAAAAACAAAAATATTTGACTCAACCTGAAAACAACGAACGTAGTATTGGTTCTATAAACTATATTTTTTAATTCCCTCGTAATGAAATTAGACCATTTATAACGTATCATAAATTTATTTTGAAATATAGTTCTATTTATTTTTCTTTTATAGCTATTGCCGGAAATATTGTCCCAGCTATCGCAACAACAAACGCAATGGTAGCCGGATTAGCAGTTTTATTATCCTTCAAAATCTTATCCGGAGATTTGGAAAAATGTTACACAACATACGTTCGTCAAAAATCATCCGACACCCGCACAGTTTTAGTAACAGAAAACATATTAATTAACCCCAATCCAAAATGTTACGTATGCTCCCCAAAACCAACCGTTAACGTCTCCGTAAACGTGAATCAAATGACCGTGAAAGAATTCGAATCGGAAATTCTTAAAAAATCATTAAACATGATAGCCCCAGACGCTATGCTCGACGGCAAAAATGTCGTGATTATTTCATCGGAGGAAGGCGAAACGGAATCAAATAACGATAAAGTTTTATCGGCTTTGGGGATTGTCGATGGGAGTATACTTAAAGTTGACGATTTTTTACAAAATTACGAATTAACTGTTTATGTTAATGATTATGTGGCGAAAGAAAAAGACGATCCACCTTACGTGGTTCATAAAAACGCTGAGGATTTACAACCCAAAGAAGAATCTGCCGAGAACGGTGACAAAAACGGAGTTGGACAAGAAAAAATGGAAACTAACGCCGATAAGGACGATGAAAATGATGTTCAATTTGTTGAATTTAACGATTATGACCCTCAAGAAGGTTCATCTAGTAAACGGAGAAAAATTGAAGTATCGAATGATGAAGACGATGATCTTATTATGTTGGATGATTAAATTTCATTTTGATTAAAGATTTGTATTTATTTTGATTTTCTTTAAATTGTACCTAATAATACAAATAAAAAATTTTCTTTTTCTAATTATATTAATCTTATTAAATTTATTATGTCAAGATATAATTAAAATCTCTAATATATTATATTACAGATATAAGATGGTAATATGCTACGTCTGGTCCGTTCTCCTATACAGTGAATTTATTTTAAGATGCAATATAATATATTTCCACAGAAACGCGAATGATTCATCGTTTTCTGTTAGATTAACACCAGCACTAGAACTAACACTAATAGTCGGGAATACTCTGGTCAGAAGGTTAATTTGCAAGAAAAAGTCTGAAATTGCAATAGTTATAAACTAGACTTCAGCAAAAAACAGGAATTACATTGTTCAAAGTCCGCATGAAGTCTGAAATTACTGTTCAGAGAAAACAAAAAATTGATTATAAACCAAACATGATTTTTCATGGCAATACTTATGTGTTCAATAAAAGAATGTGAAGAATGTGAACAAGAAACCAATGGACTTGTCTTGTTATTGCACAGGACAGGAAATCAATAATACGGAAACTTTGCCAATACAGGATAAGCACAAAAGCAAAGTAACAGCTGCAGAAATGAGGTACCGGGTGGTACAAGATCCGTATAGATAATAAGAGGCTCCCAAAAAGATGAAAAGCTGTCAGTATCAAGAACAAAACATACATAACGTTGGCAGAAGACTAGATACTGCTTCTAAAAAACTAAATACTGCTTTCTGAAGACTAGATACTGCTCTGGAAGATTAAATACTGCTTTCTGAAGACTAGATACTGCCGACAGGTCTAAATACAGCATCTAGAACACTAAATACTGCTTTCTAAAGACTAAAATTGCTTTGTGGAGACTGAATACTGTTTTCTGAAGACTAGCTACTGCTGACAGGTCTAAATACTGCAAAAGGAAGATTAGATATTGTTGGAGAAAACATTAAAAAGGCGCCCGGGTGCAATGCACCCCTTGCACCCCCCGGTAGCGCCGCCTCTGAAGTTAGTGGCAAATTTAAAAATATTACACGAATTGGAATCTATACTTATTAAATTAAAAGAATGATACTGGTAATAATTGTTATTGCTGTCTCTCATCATTCCCACTATTAATAATAAAATTGTTAGTTTAATTAAATTATTTCAGTATAGCCGCTAATGCCATCTTACGGTGGGATTTCGACATACAATCAGTCCCAAATTCTCCTATCTAACGATAAGATTGTTGGGGCTGGCTCCATCTATACGAAATATTTTAAACTAACTTAACTCTTATTAACACATAACCTAACTTTTTATAACTTGAAATAGTAAGTACAAATTAAATTATGTCGGTACAAAATTTATATAAATCAGACGATGATTTAAACGTAGATTGTTCTGATGAAGAATATATAGATTGCAAAGGTCCGTGGCAACCACCGATAGATCAAGTTTATAAAATTTACTCGGCTCTATCGAAAGGCGAACTTCCAGAATTGCATTGGAAAAGTCCTGGCTATAAATCGGCAACTCCCGAGATTCAACCTAATATATCATCGGAAGAAATAAACGAAGTAAAACAGTAAGTTATTTAAAAAAATATTTTGAGGTTATGTTATTTTGACAGATCAAATTAATGAGATTATGTTTATTAAAAAATAATAAATAAATAATATTACCAAATTGTGGTATAGAAATTGAAATAAATTGTTTCATATAATTGGTGTGTTTTTAGGGAAGAAGACAAAACCCATTTTGATTTCTTGGAGGATGTTGCTTTACCGAGATTAAAAATTAGAAAAGATGGAGAAGATGCTTTAAAAGGAAGTGCTAAAAAGAAGACCACTTCTTTGGATAGTATTATTAATAATATGAAAAGGCATAAAATGTTACCGCAATCTCAAGATCCATGATTTAATATAAGATGTATAAAGTTATATAAAATTTAACGTATTTTTAATTTATTAAAGTTGTACTCATAATAAAATAAAAATTATTAATAATTAAATAATTTACATTTAAAGAATTAAATTTGGTTACTTACTTTTTCCGTTGGCAACACTGGTTTTCTAACCTCAAATAAATTGGAGGAAAAATAAAAGTTTCTTAAATTGAATACTGCACATAAAAAATAATATAATTTTTTAATTAGTTAAGAATTAAATTGAAATGGCAGGAAATTTTTGGCAAAGTTCTCATCAGTAAGAAAAAAAATTAAATTTATAGGTTATGTTAATGTGTTAAACTTTTTCTTTTAAGCCAACAATGGTTAGTTGATAAACAAGATTTAATCCGAGAAAGACAATACGATTTATCCATCCTAACTGAAGAAGAATACCAAAAGATATTTATATTTTTTGCTAGTGGTGAATTCATTCCCTTTATTTATTTATTCCTTAAATAACACTTTTTTGTAGTTATTCAAACTTTAGGAGAACAACTTAAACTACGACAACAAGTTATAGCAACAGCTACTGTTTATTTTAAAAGATTTTATGCAAGGAATTCATTAAAATGTATCGACCCACTCTTGTTAGCACCAACCTGCATTTTTTTAGCATCTAAAGTAGAAGAATTCGGAGTTATTTCTAATTCAAGACTGATTTCAACTTGCCAAACAGTTGGTAAAAAAATCAAATATTATTTAAACAAATCATTAATAACTTTTATTTTTTTAGTTAAAAATAAATTTAGTTACGCTTATAGTCAAGAATTTCCTTATCGAACCAACCACATTTTAGAATGCGAATTTTATTTATTAGAAAATTTAGATTGTTGTTTAATCGTGTATCAACCATACCGCCCTCTTTTACAATTAATGCAAGATTTAGGACACGAAGAACAACTTTTAACTTTATCATGGAAAATAGTTAATGATTCTTTACGTACCGACGTTTGTCTTTTATATCCACCGTATCAAATTGCGATTGGTTGTATGCAAATTGCATGCGTTATTCTTCAGAAAGACCACAAAAATTGGTTTGCAGAGTTAAACGTTGATATAGAAAAAGTACAAGAAATCGCAAGATATGTTTTGAATTTATTTGAATTGTGGAAAACTTATGATGAGAAAAAAGAAATACAAAGTCTTTTAGGTAAAATGCCTAAACCTAAACCTGCACCTCAAAGATAAAAAGTATTGTGTTTTGTGATAATAAAGAATTTGTATTAAATATAATCTAAAAGAATGTATTAGAGATTTTAATTGTATCTCGATGTAATAAATTTAATAAGATTAACATAATTAGAAAAAGGAAATTTTTTATTTGTATTATTAGGTACAATTTAAAGAAAATCAAAATAAATACAAATCTTTAATCAAAATGAAATTTAACTTTGATTATATATAATATGGATTGAGCTAACTGAATATATCTACTAACAAAAATGTGGCTCAAGGTGAATAGACGCAGATGGAAAGCGATAATGTGAAAGTGTAACAAAGATAGACAAAGAACGGTACTAAACAGACGGGCGCATGCGCACAAAAGTGTCAAACCTCTTCCATTTGACGTTTATCGTTTTGTTGTGTCACAGCCAGTCACACCGTTATGTTTAAAAATGTATTGTTTCGTGTGCAAAGTTCGCGATAATACAGTTTCACATCACCTGTAAGTATTATAAATAATAAGGAAATTTTATTTTATTTTTTTTTTCTTTTTTCATTTATTAATTTTGTTTTAAATTTACCGCCAAAATTAACGCACGCCCATTATATGTCAGTACGCTTCTATGTCTATGTCGGTTCGATCACCTTGCGCAAGCTATCTCTCTCGTTGGCTCAATCCATATTATATATAATCAAAGAAATTTAACCATCCAACATAATAAGATAAATTCAACAAATTGAATATCATGAAGTCTATTCTTTCTTATGACTTCTTTGTATCAGAAGTCTACAGTAGACATTTTTAGAAGTTTGTTCAGAATGACAGATGAAAACGTCATTTTAAAGTGATTTTTCGGTAAGAGTATAATAATAGAATAATGGAATAAAGTAATAATAGTATGATTAAATAATTAGATTATAATTGACATTATAGCTTTGTTTCAGCTAACGTTATAACTGGTTAGAAGCTCGTCAGATGCAATCACACATGTCATATGATGCAGTGTGATATTCAAATGTGGCGGCATTATTTGACAGGTGTAATTGCATCTGACGAATTCCCAACTAGTTGGAACGTTAATTGGAGTCCCATAGTGGCTCCAAACACTTTCCAAATAGTTAAGTAATTTGCGCTACGCGGACGATATAGTTCTTATATCGCATAGCCTTGGAGAGATTAAATTAATTCTGAACGACTTAAAAGAGGTGTGTGCAAGAGTCGGGCTAAATATCAACGAGGAGAAATCAAAATTTATGATAAATCTTGTTCCCAGCTCTAACATCAACATTGTGGATAATGAGATTGAGAAGGTTGAGTTGATGTATACCTTGGCTATGAGGTTCGTGTATCGAGAGATAATCAAACAAGCGAACTAAACAGATGGATCACACTCGTATGGGCAGCCTACGGGAAACGTAAAGACATCTTCAAGAGAAAAGGCCAAGAAAAGTTTTCAATCAATCCCTGTTTCCGGTTATGACATAAGGCTCCGAAACTTTAACATTAACGGTAGCCACTGCCAGGAGGATCCATGTAACGCAAAGATAGATGGAGAGGTCGATCCAGGGTCTAACTCTGAGGGACTACATACGAAATGAAGACCTATGAAGAAGAACTGACGTAAATGATGTGGTCAACATTGTGGCAAAACTTAAGTGGAACTCGGCGGGTTATATCGCGCGAATGAAGAATGGAGCAAAATAGGGGAGGTCTATGTCCAACAATGGATGCAGGGGGCTGTTTGATGATAATAATCATAATAACCTGATCTAATCTAAATTACGACAGACTCGTCTTCAACGTTCATTTCATCATCTTCCTCTTCATTTTTTTTTGAATCTGATAATTTTTACTGTTATCACTTTTATACGCACTGTTTGGGTATTTACCCTGGGCCTGGGTAAATATCCGGATAAATACCCATTTTAGAAATACCTACCCGTCGGGTATTAACCCATCACTGCGTATAATACAAGAACTAACCAAAATATTCACATCTTGCCCCTTGCAAGAAACATTAGGAGAAGAAGTGTTACAGCAGCAGCAGCGGAGTGGTTTAATGATTTACCACAACGGGTGAAAAATCAGAATGGTTTGAATTCCTTTGCGGGAGAAGCAAGGACTTATTATCTTAATCTTAGGTTAACTCTAGGATACTTAAACCAATAAAATATCGTCATTTACATAATCCGGGCTTCTGAGACCCGTTATATAAAATCCCATGTAGTCAGAACAGAAACAAAGTTATTGAAGTAAAACTTAATTTATTTATACATATGTACGTTACAAACGTGAGGTTAAATATGAAAGTGAACATTATTGTTTATTGTTTTTATGGATTAGAGAAGCATTTAGTGCACATCCTAATACTATGGTCATTACAGATATTATTTTTACATGTAACACATATCATTGTGCTTTTACGATTAATACTTGCGGGACATACTGAGCATCTTTTTCTCTTAATTGTTGCACTTGTGTGAGCGGCTGGCGGACCACATATATCAATAAATCTGCTCATACACTCCCGGACAGTACGTTGTAGGTTAGGGTTAGGAGATCTCTGCATATGTGGTATCACTAGTTCCTTCGCTAAATCTTTCAAAAACATTCTGCGTTTGTGAGTTACTCCTATGTTGTAGTTTGGATGTTCCTTCGTAAAGACTATATATGCATTGAGTGCTGCAACATCAATGATGTTGAAGAAAAATGTCATGGGCCATCGTTTACTTTGCCTCTTGCA